GCTCAGTTTCTATAAAAAATGAGTTTTTTTCCCATGAAAGGGTACTTTTGAAACTTATTTTCCAACTAAGGGTAGTTATAAACATATGACATGCGAGGGTTTAACTTGTTTTCTGTTGGATGTGTTTCGGAAATAACGAAGAAATATTAATTAAATAAAATTAATTAATAAACAAAATAGCTAAAAGAAAACAGAAAATAAGATGGAACAGATTTTAGGCAGAGGTTGTGCTACGCACGATGTCCTTAAAACGTATTCGTCGCCTCCCACGGTGCTAGGAGCATTGCAACGACCGTTTCCCAGGATACGGTGGCTAACGAACGATCGTTTGAGCACACAAACGAAAGTTCCGGCGAACTGGAACACAGCAAGAACACTTAGGAATTTTGAGAGTAGCTGGAAGTGTTTTTCGCTCAAGAAAACGTGAGGAATGTATTGTGTGTTGTGAAACGGTTTTTTTGTTGCAAAGCACCTGCCAGCTATTAAAAGAGAAGAACGTTGGGCATTAATTGTTGTAACGGACCAGAAGACCTTCTGTTGCGAACAGAAGGCCTCGAGGGTCTCTGTTGCGAACAGAAGACCTCGAGGATCTCTGTTGCGAACAGAACTCGAGCATTCGTTACTAGGAAAAAATAAAACGTTACGGGAAGAAACAAAAATTAACCGTATCTCTTGAGAGATAGATTTTTGGACAGCATTCGTGTCCGCAGGTCACCCGCGCACACGAGTCGCGGTTTTTTTCTTCTCCGTTTCGGGATTTGATCGGCACCCCCCCCTGCGCGTAAGAGAGAGTCTTTCCCTTTAGGAAACTTAACTCCTTAAAAGAGGCTTCCCTTTATAAGGGGGTGAAAATCCCTTGAGTTTTTCGGTGTGGGATAAAACACACTAGAAACTCATCATTTTCCCAGTTTTTCCATTTCAACGAGTGAACTTCGAGAATCAATTTCTCATTCATCCGTTATCCGTTTTGAGTGTACCACATATCGAATTGTAGCCCTTAACAAGGACAATCCGAAACTACTTTGACCCGACCCAAATCGGAAGTGGACCCCACTCAAATAATTGCCCCAAAATGACCATTTAATGCAATTTTTAACACACTTTTCCAACGGTCTCAACCCAGCCCAACCTTGACACGAGTTCGACTCGATTTCAGCCTAATCTTTATTCACTAATATTTGTACATTCGAAATCGAATAAGATGGTCGAATAGAAATTAAAAATAATTTTTCAATTTTCAAAAAAATATATTTATACTTAAAATTAAATAAATAAAATGTATAAATTAATAAATATATAAATAAATAAATATTATTTATTTATTTATTTAATTTTTAATTATAAAAATATTTTTTTTTGAAAATAGAATTTTTTTAGTTTCTATTCGGCAATCTTATTTGATCTCGAGTGTACAAATATTAATGAGTAAAATTTAAACTGAACTCGAATCGAACTCGAGCCAAGGTTGGGATGGGTTGAGACATATAAAAAAATCTTAGATGAACTTTACATGATTTTTATTAATTTTTTTGAATTGGGATATCTTAAGGCCTCACATGTCATTTGTTTATAATATTATGTTGAGCTATTTTAAAAAAACACTAATTTCACATCTCCAATTATTTATTATTTAATTGATTTAGTGTTGAGTTAAATTACTTTCTTATTATATTTTTAATTGAGTTTTTAATTTTTAATTGTATTTCTCAATTCAAATTTTTTATTATATTCTTTAGCTATTTTAGGAAGAAGTAATATACATTTTCAAAGAAACAAGTAATTCACAAGTTAAAATAATAGTCATGGACTTAAATAAATCTATATACGAAGTATATTAAATAAATGTAAAGGGGAGCATGTAACAAAAGAGATTGTTAGTCCAACGGTTTCTGCTTAGCATTCTAGGTTTGCTGAAAAGGATGAAACTACCCTATTCCAGAAAATAAGTTTAAAACTACCCTTTGTTGCATTCCATTTTCTTTAAAGTGTAAAAATGGCACATGGCTTTCTAAACTAACTCACCAAAACTAACTCACGTGGCTTTCTATTTGAATTTCTACATACATACATACATACGTACGTACATACATACATACATACATACATACATACATACACACACACACATATATGGTCCCCACCGATTTTAATAACACAATTTATAATTTTTGTAAAACTCCTTTCAAAAAAAAAAAAACAAAAAATCTGTAAAACTTGATATAGATAGAATATATATAAAAGATAAAAGGATGGATGAAATCTATGACATTAATGGGAAGGAGTGAACGTATCTAGCCGTTTGTTTCTATTTACTTGCGGTATCCACAAATACCATTTCATTTACAATTTTAGAATGACAGAAATCCATTTTGTCTTGCGTGCTGCTAACTTTCATTGCACAATCAATATATCTCAACCTTCTGCTAGAGTTGAATTAGCATACGTAACAAAAGCCTTAATATATGTTAAGACCCGGAGTCCGGACTTTCATCTTACAAAGTCAACCTAAGAAGATGAGTAGCCTAAAATTTTATATAGTGTTTTATTGTTTTTATAGTTTTCTGGTGTGGGACAAATACTTAAACACTTTAACATTTCATCTGATCTTATGCACTTTTAAAGCTATCGGAATAAGCTAATTTACATTTTGCAAGAACAATATAAATGGTTAAAGGTTACTACAAATATGACTGTATAGAATGAGAAAAATATTTTGGTAGGTTATTGAATTATTTTCCATGTCAAAAGATAAAGTTAACATTGGTAAATCAGTCATTCAAACAATCAGATAAATCGAAACAAAAATCTAATTTTGAAAATATTTCTTGAAATGGGTGGTGTTTTGAACAGTTTTTTTTAGAAGAAAACTTATACTACTTCTATCCATTTATCCAAAAAGGTAGTAGTTAATGTTATCAACTTATCATCATCCAAAGTATATCATTGTGTGAACGGTTAAAAGTATAATCGGTTAAAGATGACAACTCCGGTACCTTTCTAAAAAATAGGGTATTGTATCTATCATTCATTTGATTGGACCACATTACTTTATCATTTTTAGTTTAGATTTAAATAATTCAACTGCTACATTCTCATTGGTCCATGTGGACAAAGGTATGGTACCTTATGGGTACCATAAAATCTACCTTGGTTAAATTTATCTGCTATTAGAATTTATAACCACGTACTACTTTTAAACAGTTATATATGTTATACAACTAATTAACAACTCATTTTTCCAAAAACAAACAAAACAAAAAACTAACACTCATTTGCCAAAATCAGCCATGGCAGCCGAAATGAAGCTTAAATTGATAAAAATTATTTAGCATCATTAACTCACTGGCCAAAATAAATAATATGAAAAAATATGTATTTAGCATATACTACATACGTACCATTTGAGATTTTACATATTTCATAAATTAGTTATGAAAAAGTTAGGTAATAAAATATATTATCCTCTGTTTGTTTTTAGTTGTAACATGGAAAATTTTACATTATTTTCATGCTCTACTTTGACTTTATTTTATTTATTATTGTTGGGTAATGTATGAGAGTTATTGTTTTGAAAAATATTGTTCAATTCATCTCATTACAAAATTTCATAATTTGAATTTTAATTTTTATACTAACATAAATTAAATATAATGACGATCAAAATTGTGTATTAGCAAGCATGGAAATTGGAATGTTACAACTAAAAAAGAACGGATGGAGTATTTGTTATATTTTGTATGAAAAGATGTTTGGCAATGACAATAGCATATTACATTTGTATATATCACCAAGTTAAATTAGAGTATGACATACATTTTACAAGATTCATTTGAATAAAAATATGAACTTTACATTATTTTTACATTATTTTTTACTGTCTTCTTTGAATACTTTATGTGATGTTATAAATGCTAAACAACAACAAACTTATCATTTCTGAGAGGTGAATATTTTTTCTAGTGATTGAGAAGATGCAATTTTGGGTAGAAACTCTTTCATGTCATCAATCATAGTAAGACAAATATATACGTACATCTTAATTTTTACTCCATACTGTTTTGATATTTTTTTCCCCTTCAGATTTTATTTACATGATAAATACACAAAATGAGGTGGGCTTTTATTTTAATTTTGTATTTCTAAATCTTATGACTTCTATGCATTAAATAAATCAATAAACATAAGAAATCAAAATCAATTGTAATAAGTTGAGCAAAATCATTTTCATTTTGGTAATTCGAACTTGAAAACAAACCGAACTTAACCACTTTCAAATCAAACCAAAATCAATCTGAAATAACAAGTGATTTTAGTTTACTACAATATCTCCCAAACCCACGTAAATTGAATTGCTTACCCCTAGCTAAGTTTAAGGGGTAATTTGAGTTTTGCACTCCATTTTATTGCTCAAATTGGACTTTGAAAATCATTGTTTTTTCACCCAACCCCGTATGAAAAGACAAAATCCCCCTCGGTCAGGAATATGTTGATGGCCAACATAATTGTTAATGGAGGGACATTTTTGTCTTTTCATACGGGGTTAGGGTGCAAAAACAAAGATTTTTAAAAACAGAGTGCAAAGTCTAACTTGGACAATAAAATGAGGTGCAAATTCAAATTACCCCTAAGTTTAACATTCTCAAAGTTTAATTTTCATTTCGTATTTACTTTAAATTCATAATTCATAAGTACATAAATTTTGTAATTTATGAGGTTTTTAAAATGACTAAAAAAGTCCCTATTCTGAATCATTTCCAGGTCAAACTCCTATTTATTACTACGTACGAATGATCAACTCTTTCATTCAACTAGTAAACTACAGTTTTGAGATATTATCTTGATTTCAAATAGGTCAAATAAGTTACAAGCAGGTAATTATCTCATTTAAGAACTATCTGATCTGAAGAATCCAAAACATAGTTGGTTGATGGAACAAATAATTTCCGGATTGAGTAATGATCACATCTATATAAACCGCCAAGCCAAACTCTGATCTTCTCATTCAACAAAAAAGAAGTGACAACAAAAAAGAAGTGACATAACAAATTTGTAAAGAAAAATAAAGCATATACATAATATACCATCCACCAGCTCCTCTCCTTCTTTCAATGGCCTCTCCTAGTTTCCAATCCAAGACCATACCACCCTCTTCATGGAGCATCACTGTTGCATTTCTGCTAATTTCCCTCATTTTTAACTCATCTTCAAGCATGGGAATGAGAACAGAAACCAAGAGAGACTCTGAGAATGGTGCTCATACTATGTGGTCAGAGCCAGGGAGGGAAAATCATCCCCATAAGATTAGCGCAACTACTCATAATGATGGTGCTAACACTATGTGGTCAAAGCCTGAGAGGCCAAATGATCCTCACAGGAGTGGTCAAACTAATGAGAATAATGGTCATCTTCATGGAGTGACACTCAACATGCTGCCCAAAGGTGTATATGTCCCTCCTTCTGGTCCATCCGATAGGCACAACTAGCACGGTGGCCAGATCGAGATCATTAAATATTACTACGTATTATTATAAATAGATGGTGACAACTCCGATACCCATTTAAAAAATGGGGGTACCATAGAATCTACCTAAATAGATACCCCGATAAATAAAATATTAAATGAACTTTATATATGCTGTTGTAATTATTAATATCAATACAACTATTTAATAAGTATTCTTACTTTGATATAATTAGCCACAGTAAAGAAGCTAGTAGTATTGATTCTGCCATAACTTTAGGGTTTACTAATGCATCACAACTTCATTAATTATGGCGATAGATTCTGCGTCCTACTCAGTACTCAACTACTCACCCGTATTTGCAAACAATTATGTGAAAATTTGGAGAAGTTTTAATTTAATTAAACGGAAGTCATGATTTGTGTCCCCAAATTCCTACGAGTTTTAGTTTCATACGTGTCCCAAAATTCTCTTTCTTATTTTCTTTTAAGAAATGATTAGTGACGCTCATATGAGGGCCGTCTTTTACGAGGTGCAATAGGTTCATGGAATCAGGGTTCAATTTTACAGCCCCGTAAAAATTTAGCATGTAGTAGTTATATGTTGATTTTGTTGAATGTTATGTATTTATCCAGTTTCCAAAAGGTCTATAACTTTTAGATTGTGTATTTGTGTCCTTTAAACATCATAAAACTTATACTTCACTGAATTATCTAGTCTATTTTTATTTCATTGTTAAATTTTATACTCTCCCCGGCCCTTAAAACTTTGCCAAGTTTGACCGGTACGGTGATTAATCACTACAACAAAATTGACCTTTTGTAACACTTTATTTGTAACATTTATTTATTTTGTTACATATGTCATTCAGATCTAAAATTATGCAACACTTTTTTATAACTGTTGCTCAAACCTTTGGAGTATAAAATTATGTAACACTTCTTGCAAAGTGTTGCATGTTACTAAATATTATGCAACACTTATATTTTAAGTGTTGCAATTGATAAATAAATATTTTTACGGGTGATTTTTATGTAACACTTCTTAGGAATGTTGCTTTTGGTCAAGTCTTATGCAACATATATCCCCAAAAATAAAAATAATTAATTTTTAGTTTTGAATTATTTTTTATTCGTACACTCTTAATACATACTCCCGGCCCGCTATTAAAATTTTCATGTTCGCGCCAGCTCCAATAATTAAACTCTTTAGCCCAGGAGACAAATATACTAAGTAAAACTCTTGCCCTTTCTCAATTCCTATCATAATTCGATCTCAACCCTGCGCATAGCTAGGCTCGCTTCCTCCTGGCTCTCTCAACGACAAAAGCTCGCCTCCTTCTGGCTTTCCCAATCCACCGCGACCACAAAGCTTCTCTGCTTCTAGGTCGCTGAACAACGTTCGCTCCAGAGAACCCACACCGGCAAACTCAACCATCGTCGGCCAATTCTTCCATCCGCGGTCCATATTTATCTCAGGCACGCCGTTTACCTCAATCTTGTACTACTTAGTTTTACGATTTATCTTCTTTTTGGATGTTCGTATGAATATCGATTTAAGGGATTGCTGAGTAATTGTTTATTCTAGTTTGAATCTAATTAGGTTTTTTATTTTTCTGAAATTGAGATTTAGTTTTCTGAAGTGGTTTATGTTCTTACTGAAATTATATATAATCTAATAAAAAATTGGCTTAATTTTGTCATATATGTTTACTTACATCAGTTTGTATATAGAAACTACTTACATAGAGTAGTATCAACTGTCATGTGCTTGTGGAACAATGATTAGTTTCAATCTTTCTGCTCTCTTTATCATGGTGCTTGCTTGATTATCATAGAGTAGTTAATTTTGTCAAATATGTTTACTTACATAAGTTTGTATATAGAAACTACTTACACAGAGTAGTTAAAACTGTTTGCTCCTTATAATAGAGTAGTTAACTAATGTCATATAGAAACTCTATGACATTAGTTGATTCAAAAATAAAACTCATTCTGCAAAACTCTTGTTACATAGAGTTTTAACCTTTTTTTAAGGTAACAAACATTAATTATTATCTGTGTAAAGTGTTTAAATCAACTGTGATGGAATTTTGAGAATGATTGTTTCTAACCCGACTTTACCTAAGCGTACAAAATGTGTAATGTGGTGTATTACTTATGTGTTGTGTTTCCTCTTACTCCATACATCATGACCCCATAAGTGTAGTCATATAGAGATGATAGGCTATATCAATGGTCAAAACCCACACAGAACATATAAAGGTTAAGCATGTAAAACACATGCTGAAACAGACGGGATAAATTGGTTAAATCCAGGCATAAATAGAAGTAATGGAATGTTGAACCCAGCTCCTCCACTAAGAGCCATCTAGTCTAGGGCATAAAAAGAAATTTGCACAGCCAATAGTAGGCACATTAAGTGATGTACTTTATCTGTAGAAAATATAATTCAACTTCATTCAGAGAGCGTTCATCATAACTCGTTTCCGACCTTCCAACTTCTTCTATACTTTAGCAACCTTCTCCTCTTCTTGGTTTTTTGCAGCACCTTCTCTTTGTTGCCTTATCAGGGCCAAACGGTCTAAATCTTTCCTTGACTGTTCTGTTTTCCCTTGTTCTTGGAGCTTCATGTACCGTTCATGAGCTTTCTGTTTCTCTATCTTTTCCCTCTCACGTCTTGAAAGTTCAGTGGTTTTATCAATATCCACATTTTTTGCTTTCAGATTCTTGGGGCTTGACCAGATTAGGATTTTCAATCTGAATAATACCCTGAGTACCCTTCTGCTTTTCTGTCTCACCCTCGAATTCCTCAAATTCCTCTTCATATTCGGGTATCTCATTTTCCTCTGCTTCAGCTTCATACCGTTTAAAAGTTCGAGGACGAGTAGAAGTACCAGCAAGAATCTCCTCATGAGTGGAGAATTGGCGTCGACCGGTGGGCTTGGCCTTGAACTTTCCTCTGTCCATAGCTGCTTTTTCTTTGTTTTACTTGGAATGTCCTACACAATAAGAAAAATACATAGAGTTTTAACTACTTACATAGAGTAGTGAACTACTTATGTTTTACCTACTTAACAAAGAAAATAAACTACTTACATAAGTTATAACTACTTAAGAGTAGTAAAGGCTTTCTTTTTCTTTGTCACAATCAAATTATGTTTTTTTGTGATTTGCTCCTTATAAAACTTTTTACCAGTGAAGTAGACAAGTAGTGTATGGTGTCATAATGTGAAGTGGTGTGTTCTGATTTTTTTATTAATATTTAATGATGAGCAGTTTGATGAGTTTTTGAATTTGAGTTTTGTCCTTGTAAAAAGTGCTTGAGTCTTACTTTAAAAAACAGGAGGATGTCAACAACCTTGTGAAAGATGTGTGTGTGTGTGTAGTGAAATCAACACAAAAAAATCATTTATAGAACATCCTTTTCAGAAAAGCCCGACTTTTGCTAGTTGTATCTTTTTAACTTTCTCTGCCAGAGGATCCACCTTTAATTATTTATTCTAGTAAAGCTCGAATTTTGTTTGACTTTACTATGTTTTATTTATTTATTTATTTATTTATTTATTTATTTATTTATTTATTTATTTATTTATTTATTTATTTATTTATTTATTTATTCCTTTTCAATGAAGTCTAAGGTAATGGAGAGAGATAGAACTTGGATGTATACTCATAGACTTTCACTCGAATTCAAGAATGGTTTGTCCAGTTTCCTTGATAAAGCTTTTGCTAAAGGAATCGATCGTGGGGGTCAAATTCTTTGCCCATGCAAAGAATGTAAAAATCGTTATTGGTATCGTAGAGATGAAATTTGGAATCATGTGATAGCAAAGGGATTTGTGGAGAATTATTTGAAGTGGAACTTTCATGGAGAGGGACCTATGTCAGCTGATCCCAGGGGTTATGAAAACGATACAGTTGAATATGACAATATTGATGATCTTTTAGATGATAGATTTCGAGGAATTCATGAAGGTGAGAATCAAAGCGGGATTAATGAAGATGCAAAGAGATTTTATAGTTTATTAGAGGAGGGAAAGAAAGAATTATATCCAGAATGTAAAAACTTTACCGTTCTTTCTTTCACAATCCGACTCTTACTTTTCAAGACAGTCAATGGAGTGAGCAATACTGCTTTTTCAGAACTGCTAGGTCTTTTCAAAGAAGTAGTTCCTGATGGTAATTTTCCTAATTCCTTCAATGATGCAAAGAATATGGTTAAGGACATTGGGCTTGATTACCAAAAGATACATGCATGCCCTCAAGATTGCATGCTCTACTGGAAAGAAAATGCTAATTTAGAATCATGTAGGTATTGTCATACCTCTAGGTGGAAATTGAATGATGACAAACAAAATAAGCATAAAGGGAATGTTCCAGCTAAGGTTTTATGGTACTTTCCATTAAAACCAAGGTTAAAAATGTTGTATATGTGCTCTGAAACTGCTGAACAAATGATATGGCATGATACAAAGCGTCCAAGGGATGGTAAGATAAGACATCCGGCCGACGGTGAAGCGTGGAAGAAGTTTGATTCACTCCATCCTAGTTTCAGAAAAGAAGGTAGGAATGTGAGATTAGGGCTTGCAAGTGATGGATTTAACCCGTTCCGAACAATGAGTATTGCACATAGTACATGGCCAGTGGTGTTAGTCAATTATAACATTCACCCTTCGTTGTCCATGAAATCAGAATACTTGATGTTGTCCTTATTAATTCCAGGACCAAACTCTCCTGGAAATGATATCGACGTGTTCTTGCAGCCATTGATAGAAGATTTAAAGGATTTGTGGACTGAAGGTATTGAGACGTATGATAAATTTAGAGACGAGACATTTAGATTACATGCTGCACTACTTTGGACAATTAGTGACTTCCCTGGTTACTCTATGCTCTCTGGTTACAAAACCAAAGGTAAGTTTGCCTGCCCAGAATGCAATTATGATACTCCTTCTATGTATCTCAAGCATACCAGGAAAACAATTTACATGGGTCATCGTATGTTTCTAGATTCTAAACATCCAAAGCGAAAAACAAGGACATCAATTGAGAAGAGGATTGCACCTAAGCCATTAACTGGATTCGATGTTCTTGAGGAGTTATCTACATTTAACAATGTATTTGGCAAGTCACAGAAGAAGAAAACTGACAGTAGTTGCGCTTGGAAAAAAAGGTCTATATTCTTTGAATTACAATATTGGAAATTCAATGAATGTAGACATAATC